GGGCTGTAAGTTTGAAAAAAAAAAAGGTAACATAATCAATTTTCCTTCCTCCTTGTAGCGCGCCCAGACACGCCCTTAATTAACCAAAAAAAATTACATCTTTATTAATAACAAATTAATTATTAAACAAACATATTAAATATAAACTAAGCAAACGTGTATTGCACGTTGCTTGCACCTAGTATATATGTATGCGTGAATATATTTCTCTCCTTTTTTTTTTCCTTCGTCTTCCCGTGCGTGTATATATCAATTCCAATGTCACTTCGTTTGTTCCTCGAAAGAAATCCAATCTCTTTAGAATTTCATTCCACTTCCATAATTCATGCCAATTAATTTCCAGGTCCAATTAGAATTTCATTAACACCCCAATTTCATGGTCCAATTAAAATAATATTTCTTACCAATGCCTCAATTTTCCCAAATAATACAATTTAGTCCTTTAGCCCATTCAATTGTACAGCCCATGTCTTCTTCAGTTCAATTTAATCCCTTCAATTTTCAAAGTGTGGAATTTGATGTTCAAACTTTACATCCAATGGCTAATTTATCCTTCCTCCCTTTCCAGTTGCTTCAAACGAGTTTATACCTGAAAATAAAAGAAAATTAATCCAAGTTCAGTAGAATTTAATAGTTCAACAACATAAAATTTAGTAATATAGTCCGCATAATTGCACAAAATGCACTTATCATCACCAATGTTTCATATGACTTAAGCAAACAAGCCAATAAAATTATCGGCTTATCTTCGTGCTCAATCTTAACATCAATATTAAAGCAACTCAGTCACACGCTTGTTAAATTTGTTTAGATGATTGCTAACATTAGAACTCTCATCCATATTCAAAATCATATATTTGCTTCTTCAAATATAGCACATTGTTAAGGGACGTGGACATATAGAACTCTTCTAACATTTTTTAGAATTTAGAAGGAGATTTCTTACTCAAGACACTGTAATTTAAGTTGGGTGCAAGAGCGAATTTGATGGTACAACTATTTTTGCTTCTAATTCTTCCCACTACATCTTCCATAACTTCTAGCATCTTACCTTCCAATGTCTTGTAAAGTACTGGTTGCACGAGAAAAACTTGCAAAATGCTACGCCATTTATCAAAACTATCTTCCCGTCACTCAAACTTAGAACTTGTAATCATATTTAGGGTGCGTTTGATTGCAATGGTGGAAAATTGGTAGAAAGAAAATGTTTTGTAGAGAAAATAATTTCAAGTGTGTTT